AACAGTTGTTGCTTCCTTCCAGTTTGCCTGTTGTTATCATGCTGCCATTCAACTCCTCTTCATCCTCCCTAGCTATTCAAAGGCTGTTGATATTTTAAATAAATGTTAATTCTCTTAATTGCTACTTTATATTAAGACCAGCGACTGACTCAGTGCCCAGAGGAGGTGCAGAGACAGCCCCCTGCAGTGTGCCAGACTATTTTCTCCATTTGCTATGTTGAAGCAAGAGGTCTTCTCTGCTTTGCAAATAGGCAACTGCAGAAAATATGTAGGCAAAAGCTCCCTTTACTAGTCTAATTGCTTTCCTAGCTGTCCATTTCTCTGTGTACATCAAAGCTGTCAGACACGATGTGATGGACATTTCAGTAGAACTTGTTTCCCCCATACACAAATCAGCCACTTTATGTGTAACACTGATAAAAGTGATGTCTGCTTTCCCAACTGGCTGAGGTGGAGGCATGGTAGAACCTTCACTTACGTCAAAGGAAAAGAGGAAAATATCTACACTTACAGTGTCTTTGTTGCTAAAAAGACACTGCAGTTTTGAGTGTGCTTATGTCACTGAGACCCCAGGGCAGTGTACCCACTGCATTATAAAACCTGGGGAAAAGTACTGTTTGGAGATGCTGATGTATGTTACAGTGTGGAAATTCAGTCATAAGAACTAATGACTGTCTCACTGACAGTAAAATTCTGAAATTTAGGGGCATTATTTCAAGTTTATTACAGAAGATCCAAGCAATAAATTATTACCCCTAGTTTTTAGAATGAGCATCTCTCTTCCTGATAAATTAATAGCTCTTTGAGGTTTATGCACCTTTTCATACTTATCATTATAGTAGGGGTCATAAAAAGGGATTGCAGTGGCAGTGTGCTTTAGATGTTTAATATTTATAAAAAAAATGCATTGTACAATTCTCTGTGCATTCACCTTTTAGGGGAAAAAATGTCATTCTTATATACAGCTTCACTGCCTGTGTAAACTATGGATCACCTACTCTTCCAGTTCATGTGAGCCTAGTTTCCCTGATATGAAAGAAACACTTCTAATCTCTTGCAGACAAGGATCTGGCCTGGACCATTTGATCCATGAAGTAATGAATTTCTTATTGTTCAGGGGCTGTATTTGTTTCTGGTTTTGCATCATAGTCTTGGAACCCTCCATATTTACCACTGGCCTATCTTTTGTCTTTCCTTTAGTCTCTGGCCTTTCCATTCTACTTCCTGTACTAATACAAGTCTCTATGTCATTGAAAATAAACAGTACCAAAGTGGTGCCCTGCCAGAGCAGAGCAGATCAATGACCCAGGAGCAGCATGTTCCAGCTCAGTGGTGCACAAGTCATTTTAACTTCCACTCTCCAGTGCTCAGCCTCCAAAGCAGCAACCCTTTTGCCCGGTATATTAACTTCTGGAAACTCCTTGTTAATCACCATGGCTGTAGTTCCTGCTCTGAATTTTCAGTTAAGACCTGAGTGCAGCTTCTCATCAGGCTAAACCACTTTTCTTCTGCTTTTCTTTCCATCTCATTGTGTGCTTTCAGTCGTATTAGCAGCACTGCTGTGGTGTTCTGTACTGAGGTGCTGTGAATACAGTGCAGACAAGCACAGAAAAACAAACTAACTATTGGAAAAAAAAAAGCCATATATATAAAATGATCTTCAAAACAGGGAAAACAATAGTATCACACACAGACCTGAAGTAGAATTTATTGATGAGGCTAAGATCAGAGTGATCCCTGGACTTAGAGGGTGCAGGATGTTCCCATGGCTTTGAAATTACCACATAGCAGTTTCACACACAGGTTCAGGGGATACTTGATTTGGAGCTGCACATTCCTTTACAGCCATCCTCAAAGTCTGTCTCCTTTCATCAGGGAATTCATGGGGACCTGGGGTGTGAATGCAGAAGCAGTTTAGCTACCGAGGCGAGAACTTTTCAGCTCAGATATTTCAAATTGTATTTCTGCCTACAAAAAAGGAAGTTATTTCAGATTTCGTCTAGGGAGACATTTCAATTTTTTTTCTCAACGAAAAATCTCTTTTTATGATACTGGTGGGATTTATCAGTGGAGGAAGTAATAACTGGGGCTCTAGAGAAAGACGTAATGCTGTTTCATGGAGGATTTGGATATTTTGAAATTTGATCTTGCTCCAAGTCAGAAGGAAACCAAAAGTATTTATGTTTTTAAGAAAGAAAAGGGAAACCTAATGCCAGGAGAGTCTGCTAAAGCTCTGGCAAACTTCTTCTGGAGCTGACCTGCAAGAAATGGGATGGCTTTCCACCATGTCTTTGCTGAGCTGGAATATTCATCCCAAGCATTAACAGAATAACAAGATAAGAGAATTCCAAGGGGGGAAAGTTGTCTATAGGAATTTATTGACCACAGTGTGAACACAGCTTTCCACTGAAATCACAAGATATCAACTGTTTCCCTCAAGGGAAATTAGAGCTTTTCACACATTCTTCACTGGGGTGCTGAAAGAGGCAGGAGAAACAGAGGACCATCACATTTATAAATAGCTGAATTAAAAAAAAAACAAACCAACACATGGCAACACATAGTCTAGAGGCATGATATTCCTTTTTTTTTTTTTCCCACTTCAGTGGCCTCATTTCCAGCCACGGATGTTCCGTCTGAATGGCCAGGCAGCACAGGTATGTTGTAGCATGTGGCATGAGGCTGAAGTCATTGCTTCAGTCCCTGCCAGCCTCCCTCTCTGTCCAAGGAAAATGAATGCAGTTAAATTTATTGTCATATTATAAACCAGCTGTATTGTTTTGCCAGGATGTAGATCTTTTACAATAGAGTTCTGTCAGGATTTCTTTCCATTTTGTAACAGCAAAGGCCCAGTGTGGAGTGGGTTGTGGGGCTGCAGAGTGGTGCAGCCCCCTCCCTCCCCTGCCCTCAGCCCCCAGTGAAGTGAGCTGGGCTGGGCCAGGGACCATGATGAGAGACCATGAGCAGGGATCATGACCAGGGCTAGCAGCAGTCTGGCCATCCCCTGGCCTGAGGAAAAGCTGCAGCAGTGACAGGACCCAGGGCCTGTCAGCAGAGCCCCAGGGACAGGGCCCCAGGGCTGGCAGCAGCCCTGAGGAGGCCTCTTGCCAGCTACTCCCTCACAGCCGCACCCACCCCTGCAGAACTGCTTCCCAGGGCACTGTGGAGTGTCCCTTAGAAAGGCAATGCCCTGGCACTGTTGCAGGATTTCTCCTTTCAGCTGCCAGACCAGTTCCAAAGAGGGTCTTAAGTGCCTAGGTGACAATCAGCAGGACAGAGCAGGGATGTTTCCCTTCATTAAGGTGAGTTTCATAGCGGGGGTAGCTCATGGTAGCTTTCACCAACATGGCCCCCACCAGCTCCCCTGGTTGGGGTGGTAGCCGTGTCCCTGCTGGGCAGCAGCAACCTGCTGAGAGCAGGGTGGGTTTGGGCACCTCCAAAGCAGCCCACTGGCAGGAATGGGGTGTCTGCTGTGCCTGGGTCAGTCGGTGCACCTGCCCTCACAGGCAGGAAAGGGGCTGGGTTTGCCCCTTCAAATGCCCCTGGAAACATCATGGTTCATGGTGGCTCTTCTGGAGAAGCCGCAAAACCAATGTATGACAAAGGAATCTATCATTAGCTTCAGACTGAGAATAAATAATACTAATAATATGTAAAGAGCATCAGCTGGATGTGGAAACAAACTGTCACTTCACTATGAAGGATGTTCTTGCATATACAAGAACATAATTCACAACAATATCCTTAAAAAGGCAGCAAGAATTTAAATGCATGTGTATGCTTGGGTATTTAATGCATCATGCAGATATCATATTTCTTCCATATTTTAAACACAAATCATAGCATCTTCTTTAATGAGAAGAGATCCATGGCAATGATGAATTTTTTATGGCAAATAGCACTACTGTGCCATGCTTAATTAAAACCCTGATTCAGCAAAGCATTTAAGCATATGCTTAACTTTAAGCATTTGAGTAATCCCCAAACTTTCTGGTGCCATGCACGTGCTTAATATTCACTAGACCCATAAGGAATTTGCTTGAATTGGGTCATACATACCAACTATAATAACCCTTTACATACAGGATATCCTACCTAAAACAACTGATTAAAATGTTAGATGCTTCACTTGCTCTGCATTAGTAATTTCCATTTTCCCTGCCTCTTTGATTTGTGAAGAATGAATGTGTATGCACACATGAACTCAAGACCTGAAAAAATGATGAAGGTAAAAAAAATAAAGGCACATTGTGGGTTCAGGACATCTATAATAAACCTGAGCTTCATCAGCATTTCTAAGTTTTTTAACCAAGAAATATTGATTCATGTTTATTATATTTTATGGCACTTTACAACAATTTATAACACTTACATTAAGGAATAGATGGGCTGGGATAAAAGCCAATATGGGTATGAAAAAGATGAAGTGCTGTCAGGAATAGCAACTTTCAAGTGTCAGGTACAGCCCTTGTTTTTACACTTTATCTCACCTCTTTAATATATGATGGAAGGGTTCCATGATAAATTTTAACATACAAATTCTAGGAAAAGATATCATGTAGAATGACCACATGAAGAACATCTTAGCAATTGTTTCAATATAAAGCTAAATGTAAAATGCTGTCAAGGCATCTGTAACTAAAGAAGGAAGCCTTAATAATTATTGAGCAGAACCACTACTGAAAATGTTCAAGAAAAATGAGCTTAGGTTTCAAAGATGAACTAACCACTTTTTTTCTTTTGTTTTCTACCAAAGCTGATCATCTTAGAAATCGAGAGAAATCAGTTAGAAAACCAGTTTTGTGCACAAGGTCCTTGTTGCTATGTTACCATAGATATTTGTACAAGAGAGAATCTCCCAGTGTGAGCCAAAATCTGTTCATGTAAATATTCATAAGCAGGTAAAAGAAAGAAGCAACTAGAAATATATGGAGTCTACACCATGTGTTTCCTTTGCTCTGAACATTTACCTTGTCCAGCTGCTGTAGGATCAGCAGTCAGGCACATTCAGTTTTGAGCTAAATGATGAGGATTTTTTCCTCTACTGTTCCAGCTGGTGGGCATGGTGCAGGTTCTCAGCAGTTCTGGAAGTGCTGAAGGATCCTGTGAGACTGAAATACATATTGGGGCTGCTTTGTGAGTCTGCCTATGGCACAGTGAATTGAAGAAATTGCAAGGTATAGGCAGTGCTTTAAAAATGGATGTAGTACATCACTGTCTAATTTCATGTGCTTCTGCTATCTCCCATTCTTAATGGGGAATGAAGTCTGTGAGAGAGGCACTGTGGTAATCCCCAGGTAATTAGCAAAGAAATATATTTGCTGTTGCAGTTTGGAATAGTAGATTGGTTACTGCAGATGTTAGAAAAAACTTACAAATGATGAGAGCCCCAATCTGTAGCATATGAATGATGTCTGTTCCTCATTGCTAAATTCATTCTTTGACATTCCTTGATTTTCTCTCTCTAAGGACATTGGATTTTGCCTTTGAGCATTGCCCATCTATTTGTCCCTTTTCTGTGGCCATGTTGTGCCCTTTTTTCACCCTTGCATACCTTCCTGGAGGTCCACAGAGAAAAAGATATGAATGTCAGGCATTTTGCAATTTGGAAAATGCTAAACAAACTGAAGCCTTATAGATTTGTTACCCTATGAAGACAGCCTATGCTTTAAGTATGTAAATGTGCAACAAAATGATAAAGAAACTGTGTACATTTGGCTCACTTGATTCATTAGTTTGGTGGCATATATTCTGGGAGCATGCTGTATTTTCAGTATCTTCAGACATGAAATGACAGTGTGAGCAGCATCTAAATACCAGCCTATAAATTCTAGCTCATATGCTTGAGTGTATTCCAAAAGCTGGCTTTAAAATTATTATTGCAATGCAAGTTTGGGTTCTAGTCTTACAGCCTGATCATAGTACTCAGGAGTCTTGCATCTGCACGGTTGTATCCCTTTTTCTGTCACAGCAGTTCAGGGGTCCACCTACACGGAGCAGAATGTAAGACTAGGGCCCGAATTTATGCACCATCTGCCCTTGGGCATGCATGCCAACTTTTATAAAAATCAATCACTGTATCTCTCTGAAGAGCACCCACATGAAAAAATCCCCCATGTAAGGCTGGAACTTACAATGAAGCATTCTTTATTTTTTAAATTGTCTGATACTGGATATGTTTTTTTTTTCTTGTACTAATATTCAACATGACATTATTTTGGGTGGAAGATGGCAACTCAGCCTGAGGCATGACAAAATAGCCTGAAACACACCACCTGCCGTGCCCCGTTGCTTTAATATTGTACTCTTTAATAAGAAAATGACCCCAAGTGCTTGGATGACAACTCCAAAATGGACAATAAATATCCTGTACATAAGGAAAAGCTGAAAGCTAAAGTACACTGCATAATATTGATATGGTGCAGAAGGGAATAGGAATACATTCAATTTGCCTAAGTATCTAGTAGTGACAGCCACTAACATTTGTTTAGGAAAAACACCAAGTGGATGTCTGTTTGTTAATAAATGAATGAAAAGAAATATGGGTTGCTGTGCAAATGGACATTAGAGGAGCACAGATCTTGGTTTGATGTATAAGACACAGAAAGAACCCAATCCTGGGCACTGCTAAGTGATTCTTGCAAAATGCTGAGCCCCTGCTAATTTCAGTAGGAGTTAAGCAAACTCAGCACCTGGCAAGGATGAGTCTATCTATATTTAAATATGGCACGAACACTCATCCAAGTGGATTCACTTATGATAAACTGATGCAGCCTAGAAATTACATGTTTGGTTAAATTGGGGTAATCACAAAGAGGGAGACGCTCAAATAAGCAGTCATAATTGGTACAACAGTGTCTGTTTCCTCCTTCTGATCTCGGGTCCTCCCTGAGGATTCTCTCCTAGCCTGCATCAATGAAGAGAAAGCATGTTGCATTTTTTGCAGCTTTTGACACCAAGATGACCTTTCCCTAGTTTGCTCATGAACTCCTGCTGACATTAAGCCTGCCTTTTACTGTACAGGATCCTTTATCCACCAGACATTCATAAACAATATTGAATAATATTCCTGACCAACTATTAGAATGCACAAAAAAAAAAGTTATGCTGTTATGACAAATGACCGAATAATTCATAGGGAATAATTTATTGGACAAACAGGAGCTTTTATTTTGGTGATCTAAGCACTATTCAAAAAATGCATTCCTCGCTTGAAATCATGCGTTCATTTGCTGCAAATATGTACTGGTTGTTAGATTGTTCTCAAGACATCTGTCATGGGTATGTGGCATTTAAACCTGCTGGACAGAAGGGCCAGGGGTCTGTGTTTTGCTTCCCAAGTGCGTATGTATTACTTTTGAATCTAGCTCAATACGTAAAAGTAGGTTCAGTACACTGTTCCTTCATACTTTCTGATTTTTTGCAAAAACATTAACAGTAGCAATTCTAGGTCTTGCTAAGCTGTTAGAGAACTTGTTTCCTACAACATTCAGGGCAATTAAATGCAGAAAGAGCACAGATGTAGTCAAGACAGATGGAACATTTATCTTTTTTCCCAAATATCTACAGAGCAGTTTCTGACGTGTTCACCTCTGTTTAATCAGTTGTGTTCTCAATATTTTATCACTCAGAGAGTTTGAAACAGCATGGTGTTGCACACTGGGAGATATTCCCAGAACTTTAAACTCCAACCAAAATTACAAGTGGGATTTCCATCACTTCATAAAAAATATAAAAAAGATTTTAAAAGCAGCTGAGCAAAAGCAAATATGTATGTAACTGCATACTTAAGTACTCCCTCGGAGTATCGGTGTAGCCAGCAAATTCAAGGCGCCAACATCTGCTGTGGGAACATGAGGCCTTAGCGTGGGCAAACTGGAAGAGGCCATGTGAGGCCAAAGTTCATGTTGCTTTTGCTGGTGACTCTCTGTTAGATACCTTGACTCTAGGTCATCTGTGAAAGGTACACATGCTGTTTGGCACGTGTCCACAGTATGACAGAGATTAAAAAATAAGGTGTGGCGAGTGATGCGTGAGAGAGGCAGTATTAGGCTTCCTTGAAGTATATCTTCTTTGCAAATATATGTCTTCTGGCTTTATGCAGAAAATGTCCTGCCCAGTAATGGGTGGCATCACAGAGAGGAGCTGTGGAGTCACCCCCAGAGCAAAAAGGTGGCACAGAGACTCATTGTAAGAAAACATAACGGCATGCCATTGCCAGGAGGAGTAAGTACTTTATAACTGCGCAAATATGCAAGTGTAGGAATGTCCTACCGCTGAAGGACAGAGGTCCCCACTGCAACATGAGGTAGCCCTAGGTTACCATCTGGACTCACCCTCACAAGCAGTGGCGCTGAGGAAGCCACATGAGTCTGTGAAGCTGTGAGGCCCCAGTTAGAGCAACAGCATCCAGAGAACCTAGACAAAACATCCCCTGCATTCATTTCTCAGTGAGTTTGTTTGGATTTTGTTCCTTGTCAGTATCTTTCCTAAAATCATTTCCCTATCTCATTCTCTGATGTTGGATTTTACATTGCTGGTATTTTAAAAACTTCTGGCATTTCAGTTAGGCTGTTTGGATGAGTCACTATAAGAAAATGGTTATGTGACAGGGAACTGCTGTCCTTCTTGCAGTGTATTGCTGTTTCAGTGAATGCACCAGCAGGAGAAATTTGTGGGGGTGATATCTGCATCACCCTTTAACCTCTATTTTCTCCTCTGTGGTCTCCACTCCTAATCCATGGCATTCCAGTTGTAGGCATCATTCTTCCTCATTGCATGTCTGCTTGCTTGAATGTAGACTATTTATTTTAGCGTCATTTATGTGTACTCTCACTTGCTTCCCATTCAGCTTGCCTCTTGCCTTTAACAGCTCCAGTACATGCAGACTCTTCTGTGTTGGTGTTTTTTATCCCAGGCACCACCTTCTTGGTTGTTGCTTTGTTTGCCTTTTTTTTGGCTTTTTTTTTTTTTTCCCTCTTAGTAGGACATGACAGATCACTTGTGTTAGGAGAGAACTCCTCTCCTTCCATTACTATGTGGTACAAAACCTGTTCAACAAGACCTTTCTAGATTTGAATATAGATAGCTGGTATCTCCATCTTTGCTGGAAATCAACTGACACAAACAAATTCTCAAAGGAAGTTGTTAATGAGATTTGAGCTGAAAGGCTCTTCTTTGGACTTATGTAGGTTTCTCAGTATGGATTGTCACAACAGCTGTATGGTCACAAAGAGCCATTGATAAGCCTGGTACAGGCACTTGATCAGCTATTTTACTATTATCTTCATTCTCAGGGATTAAAAAACTATTGGCTTGACCATTTTAAAATTACACAAGTTCAAAAAAGTATATGCTGCGTGATTTAACAGATTTCTTTTTAAATCATATATAAATTAAAAGCTTCTTAATTTAAAAATGTATCTTTGGCTGAGGTACTTAATGTTGAAAAGTGGTTACTCAGCATGTAAAGTACCATAAGTACTTTTCATAAGAATTTTTATGGTGTAACAAATTTTTTAAATGGTTATTTACACAATAGCTCCTGATGGCTTGCCGTTATAGTTTATCAAATCAATAATCAATGTTCTTAAAAATCACTTAATTAAAATTTATGTAATCCACATTATAGGAAAGATCAGGTAATGTATAGTTACATCGAAAGCTTAATAGCTCCTTTAAACTGTTAAGGTCCTCTACTTGTAGTCTTGTGTACTTCTATGATGGACTTTTCCATTACTTAAATCCCTTAAAACCCAAAGAAATTAATGCCACCAAACATCGCTAAGTTGCTGACAAGTCACCTCTAATGACAAGTTTTTGAATGGCAAGTGGGGCAGAGTATGACACAGATTTACCTTTAAAAATATGTCAGATTGAAATATGTGGCTCTATAGGTTTTTTCGTTTCCTCTAACTCCACTTCACTGGAATGCTGGGTCACAACTGCTGGCTTCTCAGTTGTATGGTTTCGTGGTCTGTGCTTGGTTCAATCAACTGTATTTTAATTAACGGCAAGAATGCCTACTGCCCAAGTAGGTATTCTTTGAAGTTTTAAATTGAAACACCTTAGATATTTGGCTTAATAATAGTTTAGTGCCTTAACATTACAGGCTTAATGTTTATACTATAAGCTCTGTCATGCTACAATTGAATATGTCCATTAGCGTGAGTGGAGCAGGAGCTTACTTCAAGAGAGATTCTTTCCCACTAAGGATTAGATCTTGAAATCTGCAGTCATGAGAGAGCAATCTCATTTGATTTTAGTGGGTTTGAGTAGGTAAATAACAATACTTGTGGGGACACCTCAGGGTCAGGTCTTGTTTTGGCTGTTGTTTAAATGTCAGCACTTGTCAACACTTATCACATCAGTATTAGGGACTTGTACTTGTTTTTCCTTAAAGTAAGGATACCATATATTACACATGATGATTGTTAGCAAATGTTGACTTCTGCTATATCCTTTGAAATGTTTGTTGAGGCATCCAACAGTTCTTTCAGAAGAGCAGCAGTCACAGCTGTGCCAATTTGATGTTTGCTAACATCATGCTGTTGAACTTTCAAATGTACAAAAATGAAGATGGAAAAGCAGAAAAAAAGCATGATTTTTCTTCTCCCCACCCCCAATAGCAACTGCAATTGCCACTGTGGAAAAGTCTATAGCAAAGATGCTCAGACATATATCGGGAAGAAGAGTCTTATACAGCCTCAGTGTGATTTTCTGTTCAATTTAAGCTGCAGCCAGCCATGCAGAAAGAGGAAGAGTTGTCTTGCCTCAGCCTAGGCCCCATGTCCTCACGTGGCTCTAGGAACACTTTGTCCACAAAATTAGTTTGGTCAGCTGATTTGAATGCAAACTGATTAGGGAAAGAGATGTGTGCAGATGGCAAGAGGAGACAGAAGTGGGAAATGCATTTGTAACAGAGATGCTCTTTTGGGAGACTGCTGAGAAAATGGAAGGAAGTTGTAAATGCAGGGAGGCTAGAAGAGAAAGCCCAGGGAACAGACACTGATTGACTTCTAGGGGAAGCCATGGGTAAGAGAGAGACCTTAATTTGCTGTCAATTCAGATTCAGGTATTACTTCAGAGATGTTAGGAAATTTAATCAATAATGTGTGCAAGTGCCATATTTTATGTGTTTGTATGGTTCTTGAGTCAATTAAGGCAAGCTGATGTAAGATACAATTGGAGTTTAGAACCCTTCAAAGGTCATATTTTTGTTTGTTTCTGTTGCCACATGTCCCAGAAGAATGAACTATAATCCTAGTTTACTCTGGGTAAATAGGGTTGTGGAGCCTAAAAATATAGAAACCCTTTAGTTCTGTTCTTCTGCAGGTATTATGGGTTCATACTAAGAATCACACCAATGAAGTGAGGGATAAAGAGAGTGAGGATGTACAGAGAGGGTGAATCAGGTTAAGGCTAGAGAATATCTGAATCCCTTGCTCTGAGAATACATGTGGGGTGGAAATCTTCCCAGAGAAGGGACTGGAACTTTAAGAAACACACACACACACACAAAAAAAAAACACAAAAAAAAACCCCCAACCAACAAACCCCAAAAACCTCCAAATCCTTGGCTTCAGGAAACCTGTCTCCAAGAAGTACTCGAGACTAGTTGGATCCCACACTCTATACAGAGCAACAGTTTCACCCATAGTCATTTATATAATTATAACCTTGCTTCTCCTTTCACCTTCAGAGTGGGAGGTTTTGTAATTCTTGCTAATTTCAGACAGATCTCCCACTGTTTCATGATGAACACTTTATATAACACAAGTATTTCTGTGTGGCTAATGTTTTTAAAGCTGTGCTTGAATTTTTCATGGATGATAGGTCATTTTCTCTCCTTCAGCAGTTGAAAGAAACCAAAGACTCTGTGCTGCTCACAGTTTAAAAGTTTGGCCATTTCTGGCAGCAAATAGGGCAGGCCTGGACCTGTGAGACCTTTAATGGCGGCTTTGCTTAAGTTGATGTGGTCTGGATGGTCAGTGCTTGAACTAATGAATTATAAAGGAGACCTCAGACAAAGACAGCAGGAACTGAGAGACAGTTGCAGAGTGTGTAGTGGTATGCAGCAGTTTAATACAGAGTTATCCAGGCTAGCTCATTTATCAGGGAATTACAAGTACATCAGCATGCTCTCCTGATATTTCTGGGATAACACTCAGCTAAGACGCATGAGATGTCTCCAGTAATACAGGTATGTCTACGTACTGTGTCGTATAAACTTATCCTCAGGTTGAAGTAGGACACGCTCAGCAAATTCAGGTTATATGTATGTGTATATATTTCCCCTGTAAAAACAAAGCATAAGTGCTGACAGTCATCCGGTTTTACTTCATTGCAATCAGGCTGCAGTTTCTTGACTCGTTCTTTCCCTCCCAGCAATGCTTTTGTCTCCCCTGCTTTGTGTGCTTTATCGGTGTTTGGAAGAATATGACATCCATGAAATCCTTCTCTTGTGCTACCAGTTTGACAGGATCTGAAACCAGCTTTCTCACATGATATCAATAAAACCAGTAACTGGAGAAAAGGTACCCAAAATGATAGTTTTTTTTAATTTTGTGAACAAAAAAAGACATGAAGAGGTAGCCAGAAAACAGTCAAGTGCACTATGAATCACTGCAGGGATACAAACAAAATTTCTTAATGATAGAGTTCTCACTGATAAATTCTGTTTGTCTTTACCTCTAGAGTTGCCTCTGCTAATGACAAGCAACTCTGCTTGGAACTTATTTGCATAAGTTCCACTCGTCCACACTATGTATGAGTGGATGAGAGAAAGTGAGGCTGCCCTGAGACTGTATCCCCATGACAACCCCATTTAATGGATTACCAAGAGCCAAGAGAATATTGAACAAAAAGTCTCTTCCAGTGTGGCTAGTGGAGCACCAGTGCAGACATTGTCACATAAGACTACTACAGTCAGCAGGGAAGAAAGATTTGAAAAGAGACCAATGGATGGGGTTAGTCTTATTAAATGTATATCTCTACTTATGAGTTAAGCAACCTTGGTTTCGTTTAGTAGTGGGAAAAACATGAGTCTTCATTTGTCCAGATTAATTTCCCATTAAATAAGTCTAATGGGAGCCTTTAGTGATTCATTCAGGTTTGAACATTTAAACTAGAGATACCTAAAGTAAGATGAGATAAATACCATCTTAGTCCCCACTGTTGATACTTCACTACACTGGAAAATAACTACTCAAAAATTCAGAGACACAAAAGCTGTTCTGTATGAAAACACAAAAAAGTGTCATATCATGTCAAGAGAATTGCTACATTAAGTCAAATCCTCCTTTCCCTCAGACTGCTGAAAACATAAGTGAGAAAAGTTCCACCAATGTAAAAGGATGCAGGTGAAGGCCCAGAAATTGAGTTGTCTATTACTTTTTGATTAACTGGCCTTCCTGATTCACAACCAGCTGTGAATTGAGACATATGTGTTTAATGGAATAATCATTTTAATAATTAATTTTACATTAGATTAGAACTACAATTCGATGTCTATGTTACACTTCAAACTCAGAAGTAACTGGTTGCAAGGTTTTGTTCTAACACTAGTCAGGTCAGATTCCCTAAGAAGTCTGTACAAGTAGCTCTGTTGAGGCAGGTAGGACTGCTGAAAATATGAGAAGCAAAGTAGGGCTTGGCATGTAGTTAGTTAAATGACAGTCAGTTGTTTAGTGGATTGAAAAGCTATGCCTAAATTGTAGGACATGGAGCTGGAATCTTGCCGTGTCTGGGCTTCACATCAGAATGAAAACCAGGCATGTACCTTTCTGTGTCAGTCTGAATGGCACCCTGGTATCATGGAAGAGGAGAGAAGTTGGAAGCTGTCATACTTTCTGACAAGTCCTCAGTGTAAATGACTTGGGATGCGGACAGAAAGGTGCACCACATTGCAGATCTCATATGGTCATAGGAATCATGCCTGTTGTGTTCAGCATCTGTTCATGGTCATGTGGTAATGATTAAGTTGTTTTCATTTAATATCTGGATATGTAAAAGTGGTTAGATTTAAAGTGTTTTTTTTTCTCACGTAGGTTAGTATCTGTAGCACATACATACACAAACCACTGCAACAACAGTGTCTGAGAAGAGATGCAAGTATTTAATGTGTAGTGGGTATTAACTTCTCTCACAGGCATGCCCTGTTTGGTCTGGAGAAGGCTTAGAGTGCAGGAGGTGAGAAATTAAAGAAAAGTTTGTGCTGCTTGTGGGTTGCATGGTTAAAGGAAGCATCTTAGTATTCAGCATTCAGGCTGCCATTTTCCTTAAATGCTCAGTTAATAAGAAAAGGGTTTGACTTTCTTTTTTTGAAGATAATATAAGCCAGCAGATCAGAGGGCCACAGTCAGTCTGTAATCAGCAGGATTTTTCAGCTGTACTAAATCTCTATCAGCATAAATCAAAGCAAGTAACCGTAAGTATAATGTGAAGATTCCTGTATCTGGAGTTCATCCAGCACCTGCAAATGGTGTTCTGCATTTCCAACCTTCCTGTTCCTTCAGTCAATCCAGTACCCCGCCTTACAAAACAGCTTCTCCCCTAAGCACCCGTGTTGAGAGAGGGGAAGATGAAACTGATATTAACCCCTCATATACAGAGGATTAGCCAGTTTGTTCCTGTACAACTATTCTGGAAGCTATCATGCTGCAATACTTTTTATGAACTCTAAAGGAACTTATTTCAGTTGAATAATGGTTAATTTACAGCCAGAGCTTAAAAGGGCAGAAAAAGATAGCAGCACAATTGGGTTCAGTGCATGATGGGGAAAAATAAATATCTCACAGAAAGAGACATCTGAAATTCAGATCACATTGAGATGCAAAGAAAGCTGTGAAAAGCAGTGGGAGGGTGATTGTATTCCAATTAGATTTCTTCTGCTCATATAAAACAGTCTTGAACTGAAAGTTAATCATCTGATTTATGGATCTTGGGAGGAGTGAAACCCTATGAGCTCCTGAACAATGAGAGGCAAATGAGATGGAGGGGAAGAAAAACAGAGTATTTCTGAGACTGTGCTTCTGAGGAAGAAACAAAGATAATAAAGTCTAAACATGCTCTTGGTTTAAAAATTTACCTTAGTGCTATCCTCCTCTTAAACTCATGTTTTTGCCATACAAAAAAGTTGCCTTTCTTGGCCAAAGCTGTCAAAAGCAGCTTATGATTTCATGCATCACAATCTTTTGGGCACTTGATAAAAATATTTCTACAAGGTTTCTGCAAGACCTTCCAGAATTATGTTGCCATGGTGGGTTTATATTTATTTGATTGGTCATAAGCAATCTGACATCTGATCTGGGCTTAGGTCACATGTAAAAGCATGTGTATTCTTCATCTGAATCCTTTTAAAAGCATTCCATGGACAAATTATATGAAGATTACTGTCAGCCAAAAGGGAACAACAAGATTCTTGTAAAAGCCCTGCTCAGCGACAGGGTTTGGGGCACTGTCAGGTCAGTGATAGGAGGACTGCCTGGCACCAGCAAGGATCCATTTATATGCTCTTATTTTTCCTTCAATTAATCCATCAGTAGCTAGCCCTCAGAAATGAAATACCAGGGGCATTTGTGAAATGAGCAATAGAATAGATGTGACATATCATAGATGCCATTTCTTTCTTTCACTCTTGGGTCTCAGCCTTCTGCCCAGATCTGCTGCTGGGACTGATGCAGCAAAGCTGAGTCCAAGCAGGACAAAAATGATATTGGTAGATAGAGAACAATACTCTCAAAATTTTTCAGTTACGCTGTCTTCAGATGAAGACATATACCTATGACTGGCAAGCCATTACCATAGTTAGGCTGCTTATGTAGAAGTATTTATAGACAGCATTTTCTACCAAGATAGATAAAATACTTTTCTTCATTGGATAATACTAACTCTTCCATTTCAACCCAAAACCACACTATCTCAAATTTGAACCTAGAGTCTTGTTTCCACTACACTGCAGTACTTTAAGTGTCAGCCTGAATGTTTAATGGGTTATTTAACTGGATTACATTTCAGGATGCATGTTTGACCTGAAGGTCCAGGTCAAACCTACAAGTTTGCAAGTTGAGGTCTGGGTATCAGTTATTAGTACTTTTTGCACCTTTAGTGGACATGTTTTGACCTGAAGTTCTTTAGCACCTGCAGGTGGGGAGGGGGGGGAATAATCTATTTTATCAGTAAAGTTGGCTGCTACTATGACTTTTCCCCTAGTTTCTCTATTAGTTTGCACAGAGTGATGAGGCAAAGTCAAAATCTTGCTCCTGATTTTCAATACATTTCCTGGGCTGCATACTGAATACCTAGAACCTTTTCCAAAGAGCTGCTGATAATCTTCCATCTTAACCTTCAGACCCACCTTTCAGTGGGAAAGAGGTGCAGCTTCCCACCCTTCAGTGGGAAAGAGCCTGTTATCTCTTTCTCAGCCAGAAGCATACACTGACATATGTGTTAACATTTTCTTCTGTTGTTCCACTCCTGTGCATCAGGAAGCAGAGCTAAGTCCCTAATTGATTATTTCTATTTTCTTAATAGGAACTATTTATAGTCAGAAATTGTCTTTAGCAGCCATCTGTTCCTTATGCTACTCCATACATACCCTCATCCCTGACCTGAAGTAACCATCTTTTCTTCAAGGAAAGGGGGTTTAAAATATTCATGTTGGCTAGGTCTTCAATAAACTCTTAATTGGTATCACAATCTCCCACACAAAAGTGGTTAGTTCCTTCTTTAGACTTTCAGCATTTGAAATATTTACTATAGTCAATGAGGGCACGTTTCACCTCACAGGACAGAAAATCTACTTGAAAAAAATTTCATGTGTTCAGGCTTGCATTTCTGAAGAACACTGAAACTTCCACCATTTGAAATGCAAAAATGAACTTACCTGAGAAAGCACTGTTAGCATGTTAGACTAATACTGTATTTCTTGTAACTGTGACTGTTTCCATTGTGGTCACAACAGGGAAGATGTAGAAATCTTGATGACGGGTAAACTATAGTCTCTCGTGTTTTGAATTCTAAGGTTGTTTAGTCATCCATTCTTTCATATGACTGAGAACTGAGGACTTGAATCAGTAGCTCATGCACAGGCATCCTGTACCATTTAAGATGCCCTAAGGTAGATATCCAGCCTGGGACTCAACTAATGCTCCATACAGTCACAAGCCTTTGGCTGCACCAGCCAGCCTTGTGAAGACACTCCCAACGCCTAAACTGAACTGAACCGAACCGCTAACCCTGAACCATCTTCCCCCAGCTGAACCACCTCATCTCCTGCTCCTCAAATGGAGCAACAGACACAAAGAGCTAAAATGTTGATGCAATTCATGAGCTTCCTTCTTCAAAAGAAATTGTACACCCCACCACCTAGTCATAGCAATCTGCTGAACAAGCACCAAGTGTAGACCAATAAATGAAAGGAAACTGAGAGGTCAGTACAGGTCATTATTTTCACATACCTTTGAATAATGAGGGCATCACATGTCAGCCAGAGGAGAACAAAATGTCACATTCTCCAGCTAAAGGTCATCATCGGTCATAGGTCACAGAAGGGAGGCCAGGAAATAACCTATGAGGTTAGGATGAGTGCACAAAGAAAGGGCAACAAATGTCAATGAAAGCATGCAGCTGTTGTGAGATGAAACAACTGAGGCACCCTTTTGTGCTGACACAGGCTTAAAAAATGTCTTTGCTGACAATTTTTTTTTTAACTGGCACTTTTATAGGACATTGACATTAACGTACCCAACCCTGAATTAGCCTTTTCTGAAAGCAACAGTTTGGAAGTTAAGTGCTGCATTTTCCAAAGAATCATAAGCAAGACATTATTATTTCAAGTGATTGATGTTACAGTGGGCTTCTAGCACCAAATTCAAGTTTCATTCTCAATCCTTGCATCTGGACAGTGTGACAGCAATCAGAAACAAATGGAGGTGGCAGTCTGCATTGCAGTAAGATCTTTTGAAAACTTTTTGCCTTTACCAACAGTCAGATGTGTCATTCCATATTTAATACATCGCATTGCATTTATCTGATTGTTTTAATTCATGGGTTTCAGAAAGGTTGATTTCAGGGTTGCCCCTGAAGTGATGACAAGCATTTGAGGGGCAATGATACAGTAAAACGATAATGAATAGTTTAGGAATATGTGGAAACATATCCAAAATGAGAGACGCCCACAATTTCTGATGAGTGAGCTGTGTACTTGACTCATCTGTCTTTTGCTTTTTCCCCTGAGCAGCAGCACAATACTATTTTCTCTTGTCATTGTGAGTGTAAACCTGACAGTCTTACCATCATGAAATAACATGATCATACCAGGAATGCATATTAGATGAAGGACTGCTATATCTCCCATACCTATCATACTGGACAACACATGCAAAGAGACTGTCAAAACCAAAAAAACCTCAAAAAATCTTTGCAGTGATATGTCCATTGTGGTTGGGCAACTTTGCAGGATTAATGCTATCAAAAATGGCTTAACTCATGATGAAATGCCCATTGTCCAAGTATTATATATTTACATTACTTTACATTACATTACATTAAACAGAAAGAACACGATCCAGAGATAACAAAATGGTAAACTGGAAATACAGGATTGTTGCCTTTTGTTTTAAGCTTTTGCAGTTGATTAGCATATGACATAAGACTGAAATAAAGACCCTCTCTGTGCTTTGGCTCTGCTTCTGGATCAAAGAACCCTGATATCTGGTATGATCTGGTTAGAAATTCTCAGGGGATGCGCTAACTTTAAAATTACTCCTGTTGCTGATGGAGCAGTCAAGGTTTTTTTCAAAACACCTGAATAATTGGTTTCTCAGGTCATTTTGTATTTAAGATTATTTTTTTTTAAATAAAACAAGAAAGCAACCGAACTCAAGAGTTCCAAGAAAGAACTAAGTTTCTTCTTTTTATTCATCATTGGCTACATACTTCTAATCTGAATTCCACCCCACACCCCTTTTTTTCCTGATAAATTTTGAACAGCTGTGGGGTTTTACTGCTTTTCTTGAGGTTGGCTTTAGCTTTGCAAAGATGCAAACATTTTTCTTTTTAACTGGCACTGCTCAGATTTGCATATCCCCAGTAGTCCTAGTGAAGTCACAGATCTAACTCATTGCACTCCCTCCAAAATCTTGAGGTCAGTGCTTTTGTCTTTGTCTGTAACAAGACAGGATTTTTCCCTGTAAATTTCAGCAGAAGTAGAGTGCAGAAGAACTAAGCATCCATGCAAATCGGAACATGGGACACAGGCTGAATAATCATTCCATTAGATTGTATTCTGACAGGGATTATTTACAAGCTCTATTTAGTTTAATTATGTCTTATACCTGTATACTCTTCCTTATTTTGGGTGTGTAATTGTCCACCTAAGAAACATGCCATTCTTTTGGCTGCCAGGTTGACTGTCTGAATTACAAGCAGAGAACAGTTTTCAGGCAGGTTTGAGTGAAATCTGTTTGTATTTGAGTTTAGAATACTCTTTCTCCAACATGCCTTTAAATAAAAGCCGCTCTGATTAATGTTAGTGGAAGAGAGGCTGAAACCTGCTCAACTGTGGCTGAATTGGAGTTTGCAGACGCTCCCACAAAGCATTTCCCATTGCTCATTCTATCTATGTGTAATTCTACTCTCAGTAAACTCAAAGGTTCTAGGGATTTTTTATTCTGAGTATGTGCAAAGCTATGTCCAAGAAATCTCCTTTCCATTACAGTTCTATGTTTTTCCTACTCCTTTCAAACAGGTCAGAATTACAAGCAAAATGAATTAACTTTAGGGTTTCTGAAGTTAATAGTATCAGAGATTCGCATTTTTTTATTACTTAAGACCAAAATATGGTAGTTTTGGTTAGAAATGTTTTAGAAAAATACTCTCTAAATCCAAGACTGTTGTTGATTTTTTTTCTTTCTTTTTTCTTTCTCAAGAATAATCTTTGCCAAGCCTAATTCTGATTCAGCAGAATCAATAAATAAATAAGATTGTCTTTAAGTTGCAGAAAACTGCAATCAGTATGCTGCTGTGACCCATTGAACAACCAAAGGGCACTGGCCAATTCAGTCCCATCTCATTGTCATTACTGATACTATGGTGACTCTGGGCTACACCCAAGTAAGGTGAGTCAGAACTCTACAATAAATATTGTAGGTCAAATGCTGAAGAGGCTTTGCCCTTACAAGCACATTATATAATACTAAATATATATATGCAAGTGCTGAGTTAAAAAGTGACTTTAACATGTCTTATCTATATGGAGGTCATTGAACCCTCTTTGAAAAGTCTTTTTTTTCTGATGCCATCTGCTTTTCTCATGATTTTTGCTCCCCTCAACCCATTTAAAATGGATGTGTACTCAATCTTGAGCTAAGCATTCTTGCAATGATTGAGAAATGTCTAAGGTCAGAGCTTACAAAGAATTCATAAGGGAAGCAGTAGGCATAAAAGAGAGGTGCTTTTTTATGGAGAGTTCATGAGCCTCTGTATGAATTGGGCATGACATATTCATGTTAGTGACTTCATTTATTTAATGTGGCTCCAAATAATTGATACCGGTACAGTGATAAAAGTACAGAGACTTCACTGCCAGAATTGCGATAATGAAGAGCCTCCCTGCTGATTCCATTCATGGGACTGCTAGTCTGCTGGGAAAGACCTCTGATGAAAACTGGGATGCAGCAAATGCCATAAAATAATCAAAGGCACAAAGACTTTTACCTGAGGGGTGCTTGGTCAGGGAGTGATTCAGGGTGGCAGAGGGAAAAGAGGGAAAACTGCATTAGCTGACAAACCAGGTACAGATTGTAAAAAAATCTGACCCCAAAAGTGAGGACCATGTTATATGCAGAAATCTTCTGCATCTTTGGAACAGAGTCCAATTATGTGGCTTCAACAGCTAGTTAACTAATATATCAACAGTGCTTCTTACCTTGCTGAATGAAGTTCAGACTTACTTCCTCATCTACCAGCCATTTGTTCTCTCTGCCTTAGATTGTGAGCTTTCAGAAACAGCAGCTGTCTCTTTATTATATGCTTAGCACAATGGGCTCCCCGTTTGGGCAATAGAAAATAATCATCTAGACTCAAGACAGCCATACAAGTGCCAAAACACAGTTGATCTCAGGAGTCCTAGAGAGGAACTGAATATTAATATGAATCTAAAATCCTTTCTAAGCAAAAATCTTATTTGTCAAAGCTGCTCATTTGTTTCACTTCATGTAAGTGTGTCAATGGCTGATTAAAATTCATAAATGTGCAGCAGAGTTACTGGATAAATGTTGAGTTATTGTTTACATATCAGAGTGCACTGAAGGCAGGAGCCTAGATGTGAAAAATTGTGTCGAGAGGAAAGGACCACAGTATAAGTCACTGTTAAGACACACTCACCAAACAATCCACAATGTCTCTGTGTAAACTCTGCTAGTGATTAATGATCTGTTACAATACAATAAAATAAATAAAATGCCTCTTATTTACAGCCCTTGTTTACATAGCTTCAGTTTCCAGTGACTGCATGTCTTGATGATTTTTTCCTACTAGATAAAAGTTTCTGCTATCAGAAATTATTTCCTCATGTCAGTTATTATGAGCTATGATCAAGTTTCCTTAATTCTACTTGCTGTGCTTTCTCTTCATTACATCCATGTTACTTAGCTGTCTTTATGTCTGGGGTACTTGTAATTCAAAATTTGGATCATAGCACGTTGTGTCCTTTTTCCAGTCTTCAAGCTACCATGCAGTGTTTAAGGAGAAATCCATCCCATGTCTTCAGCTGCTTTTCCAAAGCTGCTACTTCAGCAGCTGTAGTGAAAACTTCTTATGAATAATGCCTTATTCATCCTAAAACAAAATAGTTTCAGGTGAGTTCACAGGCACCTACAACTCCTGCAAATTGCAGTTGTTAAGATGTGCCTGCAGAAGGCAAGGTCACAGCTGTAGCATAGAGCTATGAGTCACGCATATTTTAAGTGGACAAAGAATTAGAAAAAGCATTCTACCAGTGGAGTTTAACTTGATTTTTTAATCAGGTACATTTGGTATGCAACATTATTTAAATTGGACAGATGAGCAATTGCTGAATAGTGCTATATCTATGCTTGCAAAAGAGTCTGGAAATAGTGTGAAAAGGAATAGCTGCAGGGGTGAAAAAGATCGAGCTACTGCAAACGTGGCTCAGAAATGCCACTGTACTTTGAGAAAAGGGTGAAGAATGAGCTGTTTACAGCACTGAATATGAAAATATCTTAGTATGGGACAGAAGAAATGCAGCAAACATGGAGACATCTTCCCACAGCTGAGTGAGAACAAAAACATCAACACAAATATGCAACAGTGAACATTGTGTGCCAAACAAATATTGCCACTAAGACTGTGCTGGCTGCCTTTCTGTTGACAGAGCTTTCTAATACAGGTGAAGTAAATTTGGGGAATAAAGGCACAGTGTGATGTGCATGTAGTTATACAGCTGCCCTCGTCTCTATTCTTTAAGAGAAAAGGAAGAAATTCACACTCATTCCCACTAATTAAATTATCACACTTCCCAACACCTGTGTCTTGCCCGGCTAACAG